GGCGGGGCGGCGGCGGCGGGCGGCTTGCCCTGCAGCTTCTCGCTGACCGCCCGCTCCAGCTTCTCGCGGGCGGAGAAGCCGCTCCACATGCAGTCCTGGATGATGATGGAGTTGAGGTTGTTGGTCACGCCGAGGCCCGTCTCGAAGAAGTCCCCGCCGTCCGAGCCGCCCCACAGGTCGGCCTCGGGGGGCAGCAGGAGCAGCTCCGACGCCCAGTCCAGGGGGTCGGCGGGGCGGCAGCCCCCCAAGGCCGCCCCTCCCCACGGCACCGGGGCCCCCCCCGGGGGGTGCTCCTGGAGCCCGGCCCGGCTGGGAGACAGGGGAGGGGTGGGCAGCAACTCAAACTTTTTCCAGATGTCCTCCCCGGGGGGAGCGGAGTCCGGCCCGCACAAATAAAAATCATCTTCGTCCGGGTAGAAGCAGGGCTGCAAAGAGTCGAACTCGAGGTCTGGGTTTTTACTGACCATTCCTGGCATTACGGGGCTCTTCTCGCTGATCCCTGGGTCGGGCGATGGTTTTAGAGACAGGTTTTATGGGTAGTTCCACCAAGAGGAAGAAGAGAGGTTCTCCCAAGACCTGAAACTAAACCAAAAATAATAAAAAAAAAACAACCACAATTAAAACACGAAGAAACAAACAAGACACGAATGTGACTGTGACTCCCTTCCTCTTAACCGAAGAAAAAAAAAAATAATCCCATCATCAACAGCAAGAAAGAGGGAGCCTTTCGCAAGTTGAGAAGAAAATGCATCTCACACACCTTTCCTCCCGACTCAAGATATTCAAAGAAAAGCGATCAGGTAGTGCTCCCACACGCAAAGCTTTCCGCCTTCCCCGGCGCTCCGTGAGGACACAAAACCAGCCGGCACGGTACAGCAAGGATGCAAAGCACCTCAGTGCTTTTGCACATAGCACTCGCCTGCTCTCCCCAAACTGCTTCAAACGCTCAAAACAGCAGAGTAACTGTAGACAGATGCAAGGCTTTGATACCGTAATCTCTCCAGAAAGCCCTCTTAATATGCCAGCAAAAGTAGAGGAAGTTTACTCCTTTTGTCATCTGCGGAGCAGTGCAAAGGGGAGAGAGAAGGATGCAAAAAAGGGGGCGGAGGGGCTCTTTGCAACTTCGCAAATCGCCAGTTCATTCACTCAAAGCGAGCCAGAGAAATCCGCACAAAACACACAAGGGGGGTGGGGGAGGAGGAGGAGGAGGAGGAGGAGGGGAAATCCAGCAGCAACAGAAATTATCAACCTTATGTAATAATCTCTCGCACAAAAATGCATTAAAACCACCCCGGCGCCACCAACAAAGCCTCCTGATTTGCCAAGAAGGTGAGGGAAGTTTTTCTCCCCCTTTTTCCAGTTTAAGACGAGAGCAACGGAGAGGTTGCAAGGACAACAACTTTGCGCATTTTGCCACTTCCCGCGATCAAACCTCCTGCAAACACACCAGCTTTCCAGCCCTCTCACCTCCGGAAAACGCACGCTGCTGCCCTTACCTCGGCCGGACCCCCCACTCACTAGCCACGACCAGTCAACCACAGCCCCATTCCTCCTCCGAGACCTCAGTTGCATCAGACATTAAAAAAAAAAAAAAGACTTTAAGTTCAAAAAGGACATTCAGCGTCTCCCTTCAGCTCGTTTAAGGTAACGCAAAGGGAAACCGTTCTGCTGGGTTCACAACAGCTGACGCTGAAACGGAGACCGAAAGGGGGAAAAAAAATCCATTAAAAGCCTTATGATGAAATGCAAAGAAACGAGCCCGGCTCAGCTGCTCTCCCCCTGCCCCGCCCCCTGATCACTTCCAGTATTGTACATTTTTCTACTCGTGAAATACATTAAACCGTTTAAAATGCAAAGCAGTAAAGAGGCACCTACAAAACACAGGCGATCTCAATGCGACAGCTCCAAACCAAAACAAAAATATCCTCCAGGATTTTCTTCTGCTCAATGAAAAACCCATTCACGCACTGCAATGCCCCTGCGCTTCCCTTCCCATCCTCCCTAGTTTAGCAACTCAAATGCGATGTGGAATTGTATTTATTTGATTGGGTTTTTGTCCTGCAGCCCAGACCCTGCAGCTTCCTCTTCTTACCTCCTTGGTGATGGTGGTGGGTGTTGCAAGGGGGAGGAGTGGCGGGGGGGGG